GGCCTCCCAGTCAATCCCAAGTTCAACCAACTTTTCCAAGTTCTGGTAGTTACCTGGACCACTGAGCATTGCCAGTGATTGAAGATTTTGTTTTGGTCTAGTGTCCTTGAAGCAACCAAAGCTACCAGCCTGAGCACAGGCTGTCATATGCCTGTAGATTCTCAAAAATTGGGTTATGGGGTTAATAAGTAAGAATGATAACTCTATTTACTAATGATGTCAAAACTTGAGGGGAAATGATTGGAAATGATAACTCTGTTATGTCATAGTTTATTAATGATGACTAAAAGATGAGCAAAAGGAAGTGAAACACATGTCCAAAACCAAAAATGATATGACTGTTTTGGAACATCATGAATGTATCCCTGCTAACTAAATTCTGTATAAATAAAGAAACATTCTGGCTGCTAGTCAGTCAGGCTGCAACATTCTCCTGACCACCACGGCCTGGCTCACTTCATTCCCCCGCTGACTCCTTACACCCTCTGCAGGACCCATCCACTGCTGACCATGGCTGCCGCCATGAGTTGTTGGTCAAGAAGGGCCCTGAGCCCCTCTGAAATAATACTGCTGTTCCGAAGATCACTGAGGTTGAGTACCCATCAGAACCACATGTTAAGACCATGGAAGACACCATGTGCTTTGGCCACAGGACACAGAGAAGTCAAACTGGAACTGAATTGGAAGCTCTTCCCTGCTGGCTAGCCCTGGTAGTGCCAAAAGTTCCTATGTAAGATGTTGGGTGAGAATTGTCATCAACAGTTAACAGTCAGATTCAGCTGTAGACACTGTGTGCAACAATACTAGCTGCCAGGCCAGATGACCCCACTACTGCAGTAGTCGGGTCTTAGGGGTACACAACTGCTTTCTGGTTACATTTAATATCTTAGGGTTTCTGCTGTTGTGATGAAACACCATGACCAAAAGTAAGTTGGGGAGGAAAGGTTTATTTGGCTTATACCTCCACATTGCTGTTCATCAATGAAGGAAGTCAGGACAGGAACTCAAACAGGACAGGATCCTGGAGGCAGGAGCTGATGCAGAGACCATGGAGGGATGCTGCCTACTGGCTTGCTCTCCATAACTTGCTCAGCCTGCTTCTATAGAACCCAGGACCACCAGCCCAGGGATGACCCCACCCTCAATGGTTGGCCCACCCCCATCAATCACTAATTAAGAAAATGCCCTGCAGCTGGATCCAATGGAGACATTTTCTCAGTTGGGGTTCCTTCCTTCAGATAACTCTAGCTTGTGTCGAGTTGACATAAGAGCAGCCAGCACAGAATTCAATCTGATACTGTAAACAAGTCAGATGTTCATGGCTAGAGATGTCATATGTCTGGTGGGGAGGCTATTCCCGATATTTTGCTAACTGGACCAATTTGCCTGTCAAGTTGTCTTCTAAATAGCTGTGTTTATGCCTATAAAATAGTAGACAGAGAAGCTTCTTTTCGCCATGGTCAGAAGTGACTACAGAGACTCATAGCTAGTCAGAACAAAGAGAATAAATGTCTGTGGAATGTCCAGCCACAGGTGGGACACTATGTCACCCCTCTAAGACTCAGAGAACGAATAGAGAGGATGTAAGAACCAGAGGAAAACAGGTGGTAGCATGGGATGTAATTTCCAGGCACTGACATGGATGTTGAACTCAAACTCACAGCATCTGTCATTACCTGCACTCGACTGGGCTGGTCAAGATGCTGTCACAGGACAGGCTTGTGGGGTCCTGTCCCTTTAGAGGATTTCTACAAAGGTCATGATTGGGAGATATTTTTTCCAGTGGTGTGGCAACCAGTAAGGTGCCCATGTCCCTGTAAACAAACCCTCACCATGATTCTGTAAATAACACCACACACACACATTCACACACAACATGAAATTTAAACCAGGTGAGATGGAAAGAGGGTGGGGTTAATGGGAGTGGGGCGGGGGTAAGAAAGAGTAATGAGGGGTGAATATGATAGAAATCCATGCATGGGACATTATGTATAATTCATGTACGCCAGGAAGACAGTTTTACACATTGAACATTGGAGGAGCTCAGCAGTCAAGAATACTGACTGCTCTTCCAGGGAACCCTGGTTCAATTCCCAACACCCACATGGTCGCTCACAGTCATCTGTAACTCTAGTTCCAGGGGATTCGATGCCCTCTTTTGGCCTCCACTGGTACCAGACATGCATGTGGTACACAGACATACAAGCAGGCAAAACACCCATAAAATAAAAATAAAGGAAAACATTTCTAATAAAAATATGGAAAAATTATACCTGAAGCATGAAATAACGGGCATGAGTTTCAAAACCACTGTCCCTTCTACCTCCCCACCACACACACACACACACACACACACACACACACACACACACACACACACACACGAGCCTAAAAGAGCTTTAAAAACTTTTTCATATTGCATTTGCTTTAGCAACACGAATAGTAACTGCAACAGTGGTGAAGATGAGCATGGCCTTTGTGCCAGAAGAGCACAAAACTTTATGTAGTTCTCTTTATTTTCATTACACATATTTTACCACGATCAAAAATATAGTAAGATACATACTGTACATCTGATATAATGAAACTCTAAAATACACAAAGCTATTTGTAGATGCAGCAAGTCCATCTATGGTTGAGGATGGGGGCAGGGAATTAATGCAAAAGAAAAGGAAATGGAAATCCCATTTCGGGGTGAGGAAAATACTCTGTAACTTACATATAAGTTGCCAAGACACTTGGAACTGTGTGCTTAAAATGGATGCTTTTGATTTGTGTAAATTACACTTCGGTGGTTGGTTTGTTTGTTTTGTCTTGTTTTTCAATATGGAAGTAATTCTAGAGAGCGGGGAAGGATCACAGTGGTTCTTTGGCTTTGTTTTCATGTGAGGACATGAGGTACAGAGCGGCCAACGGCAATAGTAGATGGCTGCTAGGGCTGACAGACTCGCGTGTCAAACCTCAACAAGTTCAGTGTCTCTCCATTCTTGGACAACGGGCTTAAAAATCACCTTCCTCCGCGCACCTGGTTCAGACGCGGTTTGCAGACCCTGGTGGAGCTTCACTGGTTGGCAGCACGTCCGGCTTTGGAGATGATGCACAGGGCTTGTTTCATCATACTCAGACCCTTTGATGCGCGCATCCTCCAGTGCACTGGCTTGTGCTCCAGGTCACGTGAGGGGCTCCTCTCCATCCTTTGCTGTGTGTGATAAACAGGCTGTGATTCCGGTACCTATCATTTAACTTTCCCTTTAGCAGTGCCTTGGATCCGATACTTGTGTTCATTTGTTTATTAGTATCACAGGATATCAAAGGAGAGCAGGATCTGTTCCTGAGGCCCAGCTAAGAAGTGCTCCTGGGCTCCCACACAATGAAGCAAGGACCACTGAGGCTTCCTGCAGACCATAGAGAGTACTGGGTGAAGAGTTAGAGGAAGATTTCCCAGGAGAGATGGAGGGAGGGGCTCACAGTGCAAGGAGACTTTGCAGAGAAGAGAAATGCACGTGCCCGGGAAGAACGGGTCTTCTCTTCCTCCCGCCTGCTGCCCCTCCCCCATGTTTTCTTTTTCCTTTTTGTTTTTTGATGGTTGTGCTCTGGGGGGAGCCCAGGCCCTCACACATCCTAGGCAAGCTATCATGGAGCTACACTCCACTCCAGGCAGTTTTCTGTCTTTAGAAAAAGTCATGTTTTACAAGTTTGCATTTGGGCTATTTTTTTTTTATTCCCAGAATAATAAATTATGGCAAAGCCATGTCCAAATGAGTTTGAATCTGAACACAAAGATGGCTAGTATATGTAGCTGTGTACATTGTTCTAATGTTTTAGGTAACATTACCAGAGTGAAGGACATCATTTTGTTGCTACTTAAGTGGTAGGTTGCTCATGAACTTCCTGGTCTCTTGTTTTTGATGGAAGCTAATTCACAATCAGAGTGGGGAAGAATCTTGTTGTGGGATATTTGTACACTGTGTGAAAATATAGTGCTGTGATTGTTGTAATAAAAAGCTGAACAGCCAATAGCTAGGCAGGAAGTGTAGGTGGACTTCTAGACAGAGAGAGAGGAAGTAGATGACTGAGTCACGCAACAGAATGTAGACTACAATAAATGGGTTAATTTGAGTTATAAGAGCTTGTGGGACAAGCCTATAGGCCAAGCTTTCATAATTAATAATAACTCTCTGTGTCATTATTTGGGAGCTGGCTGGCAGGACAGAGAAAGACTCATTACAGGGTCCCTTGTCCTTTATTTTGTTTCCTTTCTGAGGCTGTGATTAAATCAATATGTGGCTCACACTTCCATGTCACAGACGTGGGGGAAGTCAGGGACCCAAGCAGGAACTTGAAGCAGATCCATGGAGGACACTGCTTACTGGCTTGCTGGCTGGCTCATGCTTGGTACTATCCACAGTGGGCTTGTTGTGCCCAGATCGCGGCCCCCAGAGATACCACTGAAGACGAGCATGCCAGAATGCAAAAGCAAGGTTTAATTCAGAGTATGCAAAAGCAATACAAGCCTAGGCAGGGACTTCGTCCAATAACATCCAACACAGTGGAGGCTGGAGGAAGTGCCCGCCTCTCTTCAAGCTCAGTTTTTAAAGGCAAAAACCACAAGGTTACATCAGTTAAGGGTGCTAGTGTGGGTACAATTCTGATTGGCTCACTTCTAGGAACTTTCTAGAAATTATGGCTTAATCTTACTTCTAAGGGGGCAGTGGCCCATCACCATTTCTCATTGGCTGCCCTCAGGTGGGGACATTTCTGTGGTCAGTTACCCTGGAAACCAGGGTTGGAGCATTCCTTGGTTAAACAGTCATCATTGAATGAATACCTTGTGACTCTGTACTTTGCACTTTCTAATTTCTGGAAACTGGGTTGACTGGTTCAAGTAACTCAAGGCCTGTTCCAGTAACTCAAGGCCTGTTCCAGTAACTCAAGGCCTGTTCCAGTAACTCAAGGCCTATACCTAACATGGAGAAAGCTTAGGCCTTATTTCTAAGATGGAGGCATTTTGTTCTCATTTTGGTCTCACAGGCTGAGCCCTCCTACACCACTTAACAATCAAGACGATCCCTGATAGACATGCTCACAAGCCAATCAGATCTAATTCCTTGATATGGAGGCTCTCAGATAACTCCAGGCTGTGTCAAGTTCACACCACTAAGTAGGTTACCCCCTTTTATTGACTTTCTGTTATTTGGTTGAATTTTTAAATTTTCCCTCTATTGTTTGAAAGTTTTGCATTCTGTATTTCTACCAGTCCCGAAGATCATATTATTGAGTATTTTTTCCTTAAACCCATCGAGGATAGTGCACTGAAGGAGAGGACTCTGAGGCCAAACTAATAGGTTTTGAACCCTAACTTCACCCATATTGGCGTAAATTTTCAGATTTGGTTATGAATCGCCATGTGTTGCAAGACATGGTGCTTACAGCTGTAATCCTATGCTAGCCCTTGAATTAGAGATATAGCCTGGACTATACATGAGTTCCAGATCAATCTGAGGCTATAGAGTGAGGCCTTGTATCAGAAAACAAACAAACCAGGAAGGAAGGGAGTCTGTGTTGGAAGCTTGAGAGGTAACTGGATCAAGAAAACGGCACCCATGGGTAACACCCTGGAAATGGGCTATTGAGGGTGAGGCCTGGTGCTGTGTAGCTCTTTCCTCTGGGTGGAAACACTGCCTCTAAGAGGAGGGAGGAGAGGGGAGGAAGGAGGGAGGCTCGGAGACCTAGGGAACTCAGGACACTCCAGGACAACAGAAACTCCCGGGACTGTCTAAGTGCCCAGATGTTGGGGAAAGGTGACTGCCATGGAATGGACTGTAGGCTGGGCAGGGAGCTCCAGGAATGCAGCTTTTGTGAGATGCTGGGGTGAAGCTTTTGGGTGCTACAGCTGCCCTCACTCGTGCTCCTGGAAGTAACCCTCATAAACACATTGGGCCACCAAGATAGACTTGGATGGAATCATTTCTTCAGTCTGTGTCCTGCCTTGAGGAAAGGATACTCACTCACCTCTCCCCAGAAAGCTGTGTGATACCTGACTGGAGGGAGCAGGTCCCTGGGTGTGTGTCTTGCCTCAGCACCCTCTGTCTGTCTCTACTTCCTGGCCACCATGAGGTGAGTGTGGAACCAAAATAAGACCAAAATGCTCTCACCCCAAAACTAAAGGCCTAAGACTGCTCCTTTTAGCTACAGGCCATAAGTTACTGGAACAGGCCAGAAGTTACTGAGACCAGTCAGTTCAGATTCCAGAAACCAGGAAGTATAAAAGTACAGAGCCA